GAGGCCACTTTGGGGATGCTCCCAGTGTCCAGCCCAGCCCAACGAGGACAATCAAGAGCGGCATGGAGTGTCCAAGGAATGAGGAAGGCTTCCTGGAGGAGGGGGCTCTGAGCAGATCCTGGAAGGCTGAGAGGGACCTTCATTCCCTTCCCATCTGGATGGGGAGGAGTCTGGAGTAAAGCTGGTGGGGTGGGACAATGGGGGCCAGAAAGAGGCTGCCCCCACAACTGGGGACTCCTGGCCACAGTGGTCAGATACCCAGGAGGACAAGGCAGCATCGGAGTGCTGGCTGCAGGCCACGGGTGTGTCATGAGTGACAGAGGGAGAGGGCCTGGGTCACCCTGTCCCTGGTCAGGCCAGGTCCTGGGTACATGTTGCTCTTCCCCTACCCAGCATGGGCAGCCCTGAGCAAGAGGGGATGAACTTTCTCAGAGCCCTCTTCTCCTCAGATCCTTAGCACCCCCTCAGCTCCGGACCCTGAGGACACACCCTGCCCTGTGGGGTCCTTTCCTCGCCAGATCTGAAGACCCCAAGAATCAGGACATCCCAGGTTTGGCCAAGTCCATCTCCCCGGCCTTCTCCACCAAACGGGGTCTCTTCCTCTTCTCGCTGCAGCCTCTTCTCAGATCAGTGGGGACAGCTTATGTCCGCTCAGGAGGGTGTCCCCTGGGGCTGGAGCATCCATGTCTTTGAGGGCTTCTCCATGCACGCGTCTGGGAACCAGCTCCTCTCCATGGGACGCTGTGGGCTTCCTCAAAATGTGCTGAGAAGTCCCAGGAGTGGGAGCTGCCAGTCTCCGAAGTCATCTCCACTTGCCCTGTGGATGGGACCAAGAATATAGTTCTGTCTAGACTCAAGGGGAGGGGAGGGGACTTCCTGGGCCACCTCTAATAAGACCACCTCCCTGCTTCTGTCCCAGGCACGCTCACTCTTCTTCCCTTCTGCGTGCTTCCTCTGCCCTGATCACCTTGTTGGTACACTAACCAAAAGGTAGGTAGTTCAAATCCATCAGCCCTATCAGTGGGAGGAAGATGAGGGTGTTTGTTTCCATACAGATTTGCAGCCTTGGAAACACTAGGGAGCAGTTCTACTCTGCCCTGTAGGATCAGGATGAGCTGGAATTAAGTTGGATGCAGTAAGAGCCCCAGTGGTATAGTGGTTACTAGTTGGACTGCAAGGTCAGCAGTTGGAAACCACCAGCTGCTCCTCAGGAGAAAGACGAGGCTTTCTACTCCCATAAAGAGTTATAGTCTCAGAAACCCACAGGGGCAGTTCGACCCTATTCGATAGGGTCTCCATAAGTCAACATTGACTGGATGGCAGTGAGTGGGAAAGACATGACATCCAACTTCCCCTTATAATCTAGCCCCCTCCTCCCTTTGCCAACAGGCCATCTCCCATGGCTCCCAATAAACTGGGCCATTCTTTGGCCTTTTAGTTGAACGACCCATCTCAGTTGGCACTCTCTGACCCTCTCCAGATTGCCTCCCTCCACTTGGGCAAAACTTCTCTGCCCGCTCTGCTGTAGAGTTCCTGCGCACCCACCAAAGCCCCATGCAAATGCTTCCCCTTGGGTTCACAGCAGAGATCCTGGCAGCAAGGTGTCCACCTGAATGGAGGCGCGGGTCTCTCAGTCACTGTTCCCCTTGATGGCTTACTAAGTGCTTACTGAGACTCGGAGCTGGCTGCTGGGCATACGGCAGTGACCAAGACAAGCTGGTTCCTGTCCCCTCCCCCGAGGATGAGACAGATGGCAAATGGAAGAACCGTGAGGCACGATGATGGAAGACGCTGATGGCTGGAAGGCAAGAGGCAGGGAGGGGGGGGGAAGCAGGAGCCCAGAGCTCACCATTTGCAAAAGGAACTGGAAACATAGACTCACCTAAATGTGAAGGTGGTGCAGACAAGCCTTTTCTCCGCTGCCCCTCACTGCCCTGTCCTGCCTGGCCACCAGCTCGCTCTAGCCTTCCTGTCTGCCCCTCCCCTCCACAGTCATCCCTCCCAGACGCCCTACCCACAGCCCTCAGCACCCCACAACTCCTCACTAGCCCCACGCCGCAGGCAGTCCTGGCAGCAGTGGCAGAAGGAGGGTTTGCCCATTTCCTGGGAGTTCTGAGGCCAGTGGGCGGCAGCTGCTGAGTCTCCAGCTGAGACCCTGGGCCAGCCACAGCCTCACAGGGCTGGGACACCCACACCAGGTTGAGCAGTGTGGTGTGTGTGTGGAAGAGGGGTAAGTGGTGGGGGGGGCGGAGGGCAGGAAATGAGGTCTAGGGGCCTGGCTGGAAGCTGAGGGAGGGACAGTCGTGGGAACAAGGGACCCAGCCTGGTAGGGGAAGGATTGTTCTGGGGAGGCAGAACTGCTCCTGTCACGGTGTTCCGCCGCCACACCCTTAGCAGGGACCCTGGACAGAACCTCTTGCTGCTCCAGGATTTGGATTCCCTTCTCTGCAAGGGGGAGACAGCAGGGACTCCCCACCCAGAGACTCCCTTGAAAAGGGTGTTGGGCCAGCCCCTCTCTTCCAGACGCTGGGCTCCCTCCGACCCCTGAACCCCAGAGCCAGCTAATCGCTTGAACTGTGGACTCTGCCAGTAGGTGAGCTGTCTGCACAGATCACAGGATCTGGGGCCAGCTGTCACCTCTCGGGGTTGGCCAGCAAGCACAACAGGGCCCCCAGCCCCAGATAAGAACGTGGAGACTCTCGGCGTGAGGGACCCCTGGCAGGGGGCTTCTTGTGGGGGTGCCCTAAGACATCCCAGCAGCCCTGATGGAGAGGGCTGCCCCTCTTGGGGAGAGGCCTATCAGGGTCCAGGAGAAGTTTGGGCAATCTGCTCACGGG